TTGAAATCCGGCAGGTTGTGTCCACAAGGGGGGGGGGGGAACTAGTATCCCACTCCTGCATTTAATTAAAGAATTTTAAAAATCCATCTGATTATGACACTACCAGAGCATTTGGTAAATGTGTTCAACCTCTTTAAAATGGAGATGCTCAGCTCAACCTGCTAGACGTAAGGTACTCTTAATTGGGGGAGCTGAAGGGTCTCATCAAACGTTCTGTGGGACCTTACGGTACGCACTCCAAAAGCAGGGAGAAGAAGGTAAGGCATTAGAGGTATGTCTTGAGCATTTGTAGAGCTTAAGGCACCCTCAAAAGTTCCTCAAAAACTCTCAGATTGTAAGATGTGCTTCCAAGGATTGCTTTGGTGATCGAAGCATCTAAAATCTTGATTAAACAAGCAAATAAATCAATCCTTGGCTCCATCAATGGAGGGTCAAGCATGGGGGGGGCACAACAGGCATGCTGGTGAGAGGCATGGCCCCCCCTTCCTCACTTTAAGTAATGGCCAACTGCTGTTTCAGGAATCTCCAACAAGAGTCAGGAGCAACAGGTCCTCCCAAGCTCATGGAGGTGCTTCCTTGAAATCTCTTAGTTTCTCAGCCATTTACTGCAATAGCCATTTTTCAGAGAAACGTGGCTTAACATCTCACGCAAAACCCTCCTGATTCAATACTTGATTTTAGTGTCTCAGAATATTTTTCATTAATCTGATAACAAAAAAGTTGGAGACGTTCCCTCATTTCCCTTCTGTAAGATAAAGCCTGTCGCAAAACCCTTCAAAACTGGCTTTGGTTCCAGGCCTAGATTTAATGGGTTTAGAGGGAGCACCAGTCGTGTTTTGCTTTAATGGTTGTTTTTAGTCCAGGCTGCTTGTTTTATTTCATTTATGTTTTTAATTGTTGTAATCTAGCTTTATGTTTTGTAAGCCATTCAGAATCCACTGGAATGGGTGATAATAATAATTATTATTATTATAGTAATAATTTATTAAACTTGTATCTATGTTAGGAGCCTCATCTGTGTTCTGGTCAAGCTCAAGTTAAACAGACTGATTTTATATCATGCTGATCAGGGGAACCACAATTGTTTTATGCCAGATTAATACATTAATGTGTGGGAGGAATATTAAGGAATTATTAATAGGTGGTTTTATGAGTTGTTTTTCTTGCCTCCCTTTTTAACCCTATCTGTATCCACCAAATTTTATTGCCCTGTTTTTAGCTACTATAAATTTGTTAGAAATATATATTTTTTGAAAATTAGAAAAGAACAAAACCAGTGCGAATGAGAACTTGAATCAGAAGCTCGTCCAGAAACGGTACCGTCCAGTAGCAGAAGAGGAAAAGCAAGAATAGAAGAAAACCACCCTGTTTTAGTCATAGCCACGTTCATTCTTTTATTGTATTCCACAGTACTGCTGTTTATTTTGGACAGAATTTCTCATCAGCTCAGAATTAGCTTACCCAATCACCCCTCCTTTCGATCAAAACAACTGCCTATTCACCAAATCATTACCGTTTCCTTTCTCATCTAAAAGGCTGCGAAAAATACGTTACTGATGGTTGCTATTACAGATTATTTACATTGTCAACTGAGACCAAGACAGGACACCGAAGTTTCAGATCTCCAACATGCTGAGTCGAGGATGACCAGCCTTTGGATGGTCAATGCCATACCTAATATTTGGGGGAAGAAAGACTCTAGTGGGCAGAGTTATTACATAAATAGTCTTCTAAACATGGCCAGAGATGGGCTTTCTGGTTTTCATCCCAACGTTCTGGAAGGACAGATTTGGGGTTTCCTTTGCATGTTTAAAGCTGCACTAAGGGTCAGTTTGGACCTCGTTTCAGTCTTCAGAGTTCCCACCTCTACAAAAGTCATTGCCAACTCTGTACAGTGAAATTAGAAAGCTCCAGAGATCTTCCAAAAAGGGGTCAAGGGCACTGCAGTTATCCAGTCTGCATTAGCAGCTCAGAGATGCATCTACTCGTGTTCCTTTTGAACAGTAGAATGTCAATCCCAGGATACAGAAATTAAGACCAAAATGCTCTTAATATTGAATTCATTGACTGAATATATAAATCTTCCTTCGGCATGCAAAAAACAGACAAGGTACAGCTAACTTAGAGGCTATTCATGCATGGTTTTTAAAACATTAAACATGGGACATAGGCTATCTAGATCAAAACCCTAAAAACAGGGACAAGGGACTTCTTTATCCACTATCATGGTTCTATACTGAAGCTCCTATTTCTATTGGAATTTTTAAAAAATCATTTTGCCCTGATCCCAAAGGAGACTATAGTGTTAAAGCCCCTTGTGTGTTACTGTGCCTGGGTGCCACCTGGCTCAGATGCCCTGCATGCTAATTTATCAATTAAAAAAACATATACAATGAACATATACAATGTTCATACAAATTCTAACAGCTAATATGACTTCACCTAGTATTAGCGTAAGTCAGTAATGTGGGATCTATTGTTCTTCAGATGTCGATGAGCTAATACTAACATTCCTCACCATGGGTCATAATGGCTACAGCTAATAGGAGTTGAGGTTCAGCAACATCTGGAGATCTTCCTGGGGCTGGACAAATAACAGCCTGTAGTATTTACATTAATTCTAGGAAGCTTGTTTTTGCTGAGCAAAACAACCTGTTTAATTCCAAATGGATTTATCTTAGAGAATAGCCTTAAAAGGGGGGGGGAAACCCCTCAAATTTTGTAACAACTGAAATCTAAGTGATGTTGGGACAAACCAGAGATGGATTTTTAAATGGGCATTCTGATCTGTTGGTTTATTCCTAGCACAACACACAGCTGAGCCCCCAATATGGAAAGTTCCTGATCTGCAACAGCTGCTTCTGTCACAAAATTTGAGTCACTGTTGAGGTTGAGTGAGCATACTGATATGCACACAAATTCTCAACATGCCCAGCACCTTGATTTCTCCTTTCAATAGCAAACACAGTTAGTGAGTGCCAACAGAAAGGGGTTACAATGATCTGGAATTTTACTAAGAAGATGTCAGGATACAAAACATCTTTTTTTTAAAAAAACCTCAAGTTAGCTTAAATCCACCCTCCAAAGAAAGATCCCATTCTGGACTGAGTATCTTTGATAGCTATGGAACACTGAGAACCAGTCGGAAAAGAAAAATGGAAAATGTAGTATAGAGGGGGAAAAGGGGCCTGTTAAACAGAAGATCTTGCTGGCTGGCACGTTGAATATCTTATGGAGATATCGCTTTGGAATCCTAAGGTGGATTCACACAGAGGTCCTTTCATAAAACAGAGCAGAAGTTCAAAACTGGGCTTCCATTTTGCAAAAATATGGAGAAAAGCCACACATGTCCACTTGATGGTTGGGTGCTTGCTTTCCCAGGCACTGGAAGACAATTGGTAATGTTTAGCCAGCTTTAGCTGCCTTGTCTGAAGCTATGAATCTGGGTGGAATATTTCTGAAGCTGTTCCCCTGGTTCATCTCCTTCCTCGCATTGCTGTTGATAGTGTTCATACAATTTCGACTTGCTTTCAGAGGCTGTGCCCTCAACAACCGGGTGGTGTCCATTGGACATCCTGAGAATTGTGGTTGTGAGCGACTTAATATAGTTCTTGGCCAAAGTGAGGGTCTCGATTTTGGAGAGTTTGTTCTCAGCTCTGACGTGAGGGATGACTTCCCTCAAGGCTTGGAAGGCATTGTTGAGTTTGTGCATGCGCTGGCGTTCGCGTTCGTTGCTTTCCAGCCTCCGCAAGCGCCTATCCTTGCTACTCCAAGGGAGTTTTGAGGTGACCTTCTGGCCCTCTTTGTTCCTCTTTTCCTTGCGCCGTGAACATTTCAGAAGATCATCTCTGCTCTGGGTGGGTTCTTGGCCCAAAGCATCCTCACTGACTGCATTCCGACGCTTGGTTCCTTTGCTCTTGGCCTTCATTGTTGGTGCAACCAAAGATATAAGAACTAGACTTTCATCTCCTAGCAGATGAAATATCCAACATCCACCCAAGGACTGTTTCTTTAAAAAAAAGGGGACATCAACTCGACTGTTTATATAGTTACATCTTCATCTTCATCAGCTGTCAATCCAACCAGATCTTGGTCTAGGCATGCCAGGATCCATGGAAGTAGGAGAATCCTGTGTGTAATAAACAAAAATGACTAGATCACTTTTGAGAGATTTCTTTTATGAAAAACTCTCTATAGGTGGAAAAAATAGGTAATGGTGCCTGCCTAGAACTTTCCCACTCTCATGCTAATTTTTGATTTTCAAGGAATTTCATGCATGGAAGAGTTTTAAAACAGCACCTTCTCCCCTTGTGTTTAAAGATGGTAATTCATCCAACCACCTTGTGTGACTGCATGTTTCCATTTATTCTTATGGGGCATCTTGTATATGGCTACGACAGCCTCTATATAAAGCCCACTTCTCTCACATATTAAAATCACATGGAAGGGTCAGATTCTGAGATATTATGAACTTCTACAGAAGTTCTACAGAAGATCTACAGTAAGGCAGAAACTAGAGCAATCAAATTGGGCCGGCCAAATAGGATTCTACCTAAACCTTCTTGGCACGCAAATAGGAATGGAAATGTAACATATTTACAAAAAAGAAAGGGGTGGTCTTTAGGTCTTGCACCCAACTTACAATGGTGTTATTTCCAACTGAATATACACACAACACAGTCTATGTGAGAAAGTAGCAATTGTGGGTCAATAAGGTCTGTTGAACCACTTTTTGTTGAATTTAACTCTCCTCCTCCTCCTTTACACTTGTGTTTACTCTCTAGGGCTGTTGGGCATTGTGGCTCAGTAGCACTAGCCCTGGTTTGACTCCCCTGCAAAGAGGAGCCACACAGAAGTTACTACAGTATTCCCAAACGAAGAGGGACTGTCTTCGTTGCATGCTGTCAAGAGCACAGCATACTTTCTTGTCTTGGAGGAATGCAAGATTAAAAAATATGTATTTCAATGCTGGGCATGCCTTTAAAAAAAGCAGTAATAGCTTCCACTCCTCTGCTTTCGAAGGGCAAAATACCAATATATGTAACGTTATCAGGCTATTTTCCAAGGCACCCTAAAATGGAATTATTGGACAGGATTCAAATATGAATGCCAAGTCTGCACAGCTCAGAAAACTTCACTGGTCCAAACCAAATCCAAACTAAATCTTGGGAAAGTTGAGTGGAACACATTGAGTCAATCAGCACCCCGCTGGTGCTCCCTGAGCAACCCAAGATACCACTCAAATGGTTGTTAGGAGCAAAGTACAATGCTCGATACAGAACAGCAAGCAATTTAATCACTTGTCCTTGCGACAAAGGTTAATCAACTGTTCATATCCCCCCCCAAACAAAAAAATGAGAGGGAGGGAATTCAGACGTCATCCACCTTTCTCAGTTCTTTGGATAGCTAAATGTCGATAGAGACATCAAATTAAGCGGGCCCTGGTTCTTTCTCTTGATACTTCTGTACTCTTCAGCTCACTGTTGGTGCAAAATGTATTCAGTTCAACAACAGAGACTTCTCAAGGGTCTAGTACAAGTGCCAGGCAGTTGCAATGAACCACAATTCTTAGCTTGAACATCGACGAGGTTGCAAACCTAGATCTGTCCCCAACTCTGTGAACTGGTCCTTGAATAACTCTTCTGCATGTTCATACTGGGGTTACTTTCTCAACTATTTCTAAAGATCTTGATAGTCCCTTTTGGGAAAGGTCCAGGAAGACACACACATCGCTTCCGGGATGAGCTTTCCCCATTAGAGACTCAGAAAAGTTAGCCATACAAAGAAAGGTTCTGAAGTCTATGCTTTGGGGAGAGGAGGCTACGTTTTTAAAGACAGGCATTTCAAGAGAGATTGGTTTCCCTCTGTAGACATTGCAGAGTAGAGTTCGTGTAGGCCACTCTGCACAATAGCTACCCACCTCTTTTCTACCCCCTTTTCCCTCCCAAAATTTGACAGGGATGGCTCTAAACTGAACAGGCCAAAAATGATTCGATCCCTACCTGGCAGTGGAGCAAGTGCCAACAGCATCCTTAACAAGTGGCATCCAGCCTGGCACGGGTCATAAAGACACAGACACAGCCTCAGAAGAAGGTGACCACCTCCCAAGGAGCAAGCTGTCTGCCCGTTCCAATCTGCTACAGACTGTTCACTTGGGCTAGGACACGTCACTTTAATGCACTAACAGGTAGGGAGGCGGAGTCTGGCATGGCCAAGTCTACTGCAAATAAGCCAAGGGATGTGCGGAGTTGCAAGATTATAAGGAGAATATTTTCCCGTGTTGCTGGGGCTCAACCTGGATTCTACGGCTGAGGCCAAGAACTTGGTGTACCCTTGGGGGAAGGTCCAAGACAGAAAGCTGGGGCACGGATGCTGATGACCCCATTGCTGTTCTCTAACCCTAACCCTTCAGTCAAATGAAGCGGTGCAGGCTGTCTGGGTGGCACACGTTTCCTCCAGCATGGAAAGGAAGGCTGCAACCTCTGAAGCTCCGATCGCCCATCCTTCACCTGCTGTGTTTCCCAGATGCATTCAACTGCAACTCCCAGGACTCTCAGGTGGCTGTGGATTAGTACAGTTGTAGTGCAATGCCTGTGGCAAGCCGCAACCCCCAGGATGTGGCAGAAACCTGGAGAGTGAAATTTGATCTTCAAAAGCAGAGGCTGCTGATCTACAGGGTTTGTTGTAGGAATAGCATCTGGCCCAAGGAAGAGTAACTATGGAAGATCCAAGGGAAAAATCACAGACAGAACAGAAAGGGGGGCAGGAAGAAATGTAATGTTCTCTTTGGGTGAAGGCCAAGCTTCAAACTGGTTTACCTGGTTGCTTATTTCTGATTCCCCCCCCCCACACACACACACATGCTCTGGCCAATATCAAATTTCATATATACTTAAAAATTCATTTATTCGGCCTCACGACACTATGCTTTTAACCTTTGGCAAACTGTATTCTAGAACAAACTAATCCCAGAGCTTCCTAGACTAACAACCCAAAGTGCAGAAGACAATACAATCTACGGGGACATTTAACCCTCTTTAAATGGCACCTTTCATGGAGAATATTTGTGTGGTCGCTAGGTGTCGAAAACGACCTGATGGCACCTAATCAATCGAGCAATCAATGACACCTCGTGCCACGGAATGTATCAAAACAGAAGGAACATCCGATTCCAGGCTTATAAATATATAGCTTTATTTTATTTTGAATATTAAATAAGATTCTTTAAATTACAAGCAGCCTTGGATCACACTATGCATGATCAATATACAGTAGAAATCTTACAGTTTTAAAATTTACACAGTTTAAGGATAAATTCGACCTGGAATTTAATTAGCTAGCATATTGCCACGAACCTCAGAGCTGCATTAAATCCCAATCGGAAAATTTCTCCCCTATGATTTTGTTACATAAATTTCCTCATGTACAAATAGAGTAAAACGTCGTATGTACACATAATTGAAACTGCTTTACCATTACCCACCACTGTGCAAGAACAGACAAATTGTTAAACAGAACTGGACATCTTAAATTCGTTCAAGTTTTAACTGAATAAAAATAAAATAAAATAAAATAAAAACCAGGCTGTGGAACAGAACACGTTATCTGCTCTCCATCGAATGTGTTTCCTCTGCAATACTTCCTTAAAGACATCTTGATTTTTTCCTCTTTAGAAATGGATAGTTTATACAAATTAAAGCTGAGGTTATTCTTTTCTTCGCCCTCTGTCCTTATTGTTGAGGCTATTTCTCCCAAAGCAGTCATATTTCCGGTTCTTTCCAATCTAAATAGCCACTTTGCCCCCCATAAAATTTTAGCCAAGCATGTAATCGTTTCTCTCTACAAAAACCTCCAGAGTTGGCTCTCTCAAAAAAAGGAAAAACAAAAGAGACACACAAATCAATCTAAAATAGTGTTTAAAATGTACGCATGAATAGCTTTTGTTAGTGTCAAAGATTTTTTTTTTAAAAAGAAACTTTTCATTTCCAAAAAAAGCAGCAGCTTTTATAAAGAACGGAACTTGGAAATGATTTAGCCATTAAAAGCCTAACTACAAAGACTAGGCCAGCCTTCCCAAAGATGGTGGCCTTCTAGAAGAACGGTAATCTCCATTACTGCTACTAGTTCATTCCAGAAAGGGTTGACAGACTGGTTCATCTTGAGAGCTTACTATCCTTCCTGAAATGGATCGCTTATGGATCACTCTAACACAGTGTTTCTCAACCTTGGCACCTTTAAGATGTGTGGACTTCAACTCCTAGAATTCCCCGGCCAGCCTTCCCCAGGTTGAAGTCCACCCGTCTTAAAGTTGCCAAGGTTGAGAAACACTGCTCTAACAGCGGCTATGCTGCAAATAAACATTCTCCTATGTAAGAGAATTGGGTACTGTAAAGACATTCTGGTTGATGCTATTTGTTTCTTCTCACCCACTCACTCCAGCCTGGCACCAGGCCAACAAAAGCCCTGTTGCAATGCTCCTGAGCTCCTGGTCACCTATACATTTTAGTGCAAATGGCCACCACGAGTGCCTGCATTGCTCCCCTCGGTTATCCTGCAGAACCTCAGAAACTAGGACTGAGAGACCGTTGAGGCTGCAGAAAACATCTGGCCAGGCTCAACTGCCTTCCAAAGCTTCACAATGGGCCGGATGTCCCAACATAAAACTTCCTTAGTCAATCATCTCTACGTTGGTAAATATACACATATACACAGACAAACGTAGACCTCTGCGAAGTTTCAGCCTAGCATTCAGAAGTTCAAATGCACAGGTCCCATACTGAGGGGCTGGGTTGAGGTGAGAGAAAAAGGACAGAGAAGCAGCAACTCTAAGTCTCTAAAGCAGGAGGACCACGGTTGACCTCAGGCTGCCACAGGCCACTTCTAGGACTTGGACATCTGCTAGCTTTGATAAAAACAAGCTCTACAGAAAACAGAAATAACGCTACACAGAACAAGCAACACACCAAACTCTAACCTGCCCCAATTCTCCAAACCTGGCCAGGTCATCAGGGAATTTATAATGCAAAAAAATACAGGGGCCTCAACTCAGTGAAAAGATATAACCACAACTATACATAAATCAACCTTTAGGAATCCATTAAGAAACCTGGACAACTTGGCCTGGATTTGGGAAGCTGAGGATTCTACCTCAGCTAAAGAAAAGCTAATGTGGGGTTTTCAATGGCTCACATATTAAAAGCTGCAGTGCCTAAAAAGATGCATGTGTATTTTGCGCACAAGGAAAACATTTCTGGCTCAGCCTGGGGCATGATGTATCCAGAACGCTGCCTTTTCAATGAGACAGATATGCCCTGGGCCTGTCCAAAAATAGGAGTTTGCAATTCATATGACAGTTTAGACGCAGGATTAAAGTGAAGTGAGGTGAGGTGAGGTGAGGTGAGGTGAAAGGGAACAGGGAGAAGCCCCAAGAACGGGGAGAAAACCCTGACATGGGTAGGCATGTTGGGCCAGAGCTAATTCCAAAATTCAAATGCAGACTCCAGAATGAAGGGAATGCTAACACTCATTTCACTCAACCCCACCGACTGGTCTTCACCATTTAGATGTCTTCTGCCCTGAAGGGAGCATTCATCTAATGTATTTAAAGGGCGCCACTGGGGACAGCTGCCATAAACAATGTCCAAATTCCTAATGCACAAGGTCGGGGTGGAGGCTTGCAGCCATGCAACCCAACAGAGAGTTGAGAATGCTCGCTTTTGAGTTCTCGTGTGTGTGTGTGTTTACATATATAAATCACATTATGAAAGAGATGGGCACAGCTGAATTTATCTCAGAAGAGGTTTCACTTCAGACTCCAGATTCTCAAAGAGTAAAGAAGGCCAGATCCAAGGCTGTCAGTTAAGAAGGAATGCAGTGCGTGCAGATGTTGGGTCTGTCAAGAACAGCCACATAAGAGCAGAGCTCCATAAGGCATCTGGGCAGGTGGTGAAGCTAAGCACATGAAGCAAAAGCATTTCTCAAGATGCTACTGTTCTTCAGAGTTCTTCAGATCCTTACACATCAATGCTCTACCACTCCCTGGCATATTTCATGCATGACTGTTCCTGTCCTTCACGCAGCTTCCAAGAGCTAATCTAGATGAAGGCTTAAAAACACCCATGCTTCCCCCCATTCTTTCCTATAGTATTTTTTTCATTCTATTCCAAGAAGTTCTCAAAAACTCATCCTTTAAGCAGAACATTTTGTAGGATAGCCCAACAGCTTTACAAATAGGGTTGCAAACATGTTCTTCCTGTACCAAACTATGGGTGCAAAATATGCATAATAGCTCAAATGCTTATTTTTAAAATGAGGTAAGTAAAAGAGAACCATTTTACTGAGAAGCAAAGCTATTTGCCCACACAATGTGGCCAGAGCCTTCTATTTTAAGAATGTTCAGGATAGGTCTATATGAAGAGGGCTGGAGCTCAGAAAAGTTCCTTTAAGCAGGCTAGAACAACTGGGTTTAATGAAGTAACTGCCTTTTAGTCCATAAGTTGCAGCTTGCATCCTTAAAGACTTTGAGACAATTATTTTGAGAACTTGTATGGGAGAAAACCTACAGGAAGTCCCATTTACATCAGTCATGAAGCTTGTTGTGACACACACTCATGCTTGAGAACCAGGACACCCAGGAAGACCCAAAGAGCCCAAACTTATTAAAGCTTCTATTTTTTACAGGTACCTGACTTCAAAAAGAAAGATCACTAACGGCAGAAGTGAAGCAATCTTCTATCAGATTGCCTACCAGAAATGTTGACAGATCCCTGAAGATGATATGAACAATACTAGACCTTGCCCAATAACCAAGAACATCACTGGGACAAGGATGCACACAGGCATACCACAAACACACATATTAAACAAAATCCCAGAGACTTTGTCCTAGAAAAAGCAAGGAAAACCCAAAAACCAGTACCCCACCACCACCATTTTTAGCCAACTACAAATAAAAAAGTCAATCCATCAACCCCTGTTAATTGCAAATGAGAATTACCCTCCTTTCTCTCCCAAAGTGAGTTGGCCTTTTAGAAGCATGAAGAACACACGAAGTTGCAGAAATCCTTAAAAGGAAAATAATAACTGGAAGACTCAAGTTCTGTACATTCTGACAAGTAGATTGTGTGGAAAGAGACACACAAGGAGTAAAAGGAAACCAACTTAAATGAGCCAGAACGATGATTCCCCTTGGTCCAGAATGGCTTTGTACAGTGCAAAGGGACTTGGCGAGGCTACAACTAGCACACCTACAGCTAAGCAATGAGCAAAACCTGCAAAATATGGCTTGCTACACAACAGCCAGATCAAGGAATGTAGTCAGCTTCAGCTCAGCTATATACAATTTTACACATTCATACAGATAAATACATGGTTACCCCAAAGAAAGTATGTTACAATCCTATATATAAATCAGAACATCACTGTGGTACAAATCATCTGGAGGATACTTCAAGTACTGGGAGAGAGCTAGCATAGGGAGGTCTGGGTTTTTTTTAAGAGGAAATGCAAAATGCACCAGCTTTCAAAAATAGTACACTGTGAAATACATCCACTCCAAATTCTGGTCCTGACTGGGTGTTCCCTCAGTCGTTTTGCCAGCCACTTGATTGAAGGACTTCAGCAGAACTTCGTCTTCAGGTGCAACTTTTTTGAAAAGGCTCTTAGCCCAAAGCAGAGGTATTCCCTACAACCATGAGGACGGACGGGGTGAAGCTTCAGTTCTTAATCTTTTTCTCCATCTTCACTGCTCCCTGTTGAAGAAACAAAGTTATTACAATGGGGAAAATACTTGGGATATTCTGCTTGCCAAAGGACGCTCTAAACTCTGCAGATTTTTTGAGGCCTAATTTGTTGGGGTATTTTGTGGCAGACCAGCTCAGTTGAAATGAAAGTGGGAGAGTCTTTAAGAGAACAGGCACAAGAGGTGTGCTGCAGGTACCCGCTCCATATGGACGTTACGATAGTTTCTGCAGAGGTTGGAGTCCATTTTTTCCTTCCCTTGGAAGGGGGATTCTGATGTTCCAGGCGTTGTTCTCCATCTCCTATTGCAAAATCCACAACGCGGGCACACCTGCAAGTCTCCCAAGCACAACTGTCTAAATCGCACACTTCAATGTCACCATTTAGGACATAAAAGAAAGTTGCCCTATCTCGAACGCCGGCGTTACTGGCTAAAACAAGCAAAGAAGGTTATCTAATCAGCACCCAAACGCAAGTGCAAACAGCGTTTCTCTAAGGAATGGGAACTCACACCCAAACACCAAGTACCAGGGCATCTGCATGGCCAAAGTATGTCCTAGCTCCATGATTTAAAGAAAAATAAAATAAAACGATCCAATGAGAAACCTGCTTATTTTAGCCTGCTTGATCTAAGTGTAGAAAACTCCTGACTCTCAAGATCATGCCGGATCCCAGTTCCAAACAACTCAGCCGTGCTACTAGGGCTGGTAGGAGTTGAAACTAAGAGCAAGTAGAGGCTTGTGTTTTAAATGCAGCTGGGACTCTTTGAGATGAACGGATCTATCTTGGGATTTGACGCTTCCAGAACACTGGCGGGAGAACAATCTGGTGAACCTCCTTGAGCTGCCTCCTCCTCTCTCTTCCACTTGGCCCCAAACTGCAAGGGGGCTTCCCCCGCATGGTGACAAGGTCTGAAGGGTGACAAACTCAAGAGCCACAAAGAACGAACATTTGTGATGGAAAATAAATGCTCTGATCTCAGAACAGAACCCCAAATGTACAAGGTTAGCTGTAACCTTTTATGCTCCCCTACACCTATCCTGTGCTCCTACCTCTTCTTAGATTCTTATAGGCTTTTATATATACTTTTTGTTTTAATACCTTCCAGCTTTTCATAATTTTTTTTAAGACTCTGATGTATCTTCTATTCTTTTTAATTGACGGTACTCCACCCTCCTTATGCTGGTCAATGACTATAATAAAGATTTGATTGGATTTGAATGTTAGCTGAGGTTCAGTTGAATGGAGTAACTTCCTGTAGGGGAACTTTAACATCTTTCCCAAATATAGTGCTTTCCAGACACCTAAGATCGGGGTGTGAGATGGAATTTCAGGGGGTGCAACAATTTTATGCACTGAGTTAAAAGCTTATGTTTTAAAGTTCAGTTTGTTCACCCATATTAAAAATTAGGCTTCTGCATCTTCAAATGTGGTATTACCTTTGTAAGGGGTGCGAACATTAATCAAACATTTCCTAGGGCTGTGGGGCATAGAAAAGATTGGGAACCATGATTTATGTTGTATGATGACTCATATACCAATCAGTTTCCACAATCCCTGAGCAGCTTGCTGGGTTAGCATCAGATGATGAAAAACAAAAATCAGTTAATCTAATTATAACCCTTCAGTCCAATGAGTCACCATTTGGGGTAGCGTGATCTTCCTCATGCCCCAGTGCCTTTTGGAAGAGACCTGTTTTCACAGCTCTCCTAAACTGTGGCAAAGAGGGTCCAGATATCCAGGATAAATTGTTTAAAGGAGAGGGGCCATCACCAAGAAGGCATGAGACCAGTCTCCCTAAACCTACAGAAAGCTTCTGCTTGTCAGCAGCAGCAAATCCACGGGCTGAAAGAAAATACTTGCCTCCTTGTTCAATATCAGAATCTGTAAGGTGAGTGAGCGAAAAGCTTGCGATGTTTGCCGGTGAGATAGAGAACCTGGAGTAAGGTAATGGGTGGGACCAGTCCTGCTCAGGGCTTCGGGGTGGTGGTGGAGGGGAGAGGTACTTTGAGGTCTGAAGAGAAGGCTTGGAGCTGATGAGGCTGCTTGCTGCCTTTAAGATCATGGAGGGCCCCGGAGAAGGAAAATCATCGTCCCACTCAAAACCTCCTCCTAGGACAAGCACATCACACAGGCATTTCAAACAATGAAGAGGAAAATCTATTGTCCATAAAAACTCATCGAAACTAAGGGCTCTTCCCTACCAAGGATGCCCCAAATCAAGAGCACGGTTTTAAAATGCCCTGATCTAGATGATGCATTTTGGTTAGGAAACCACAGATCTTAATTTTGTAAGCTTTATTTGCTAAAGACACTTGGAGTCACTCAGAGATTAAATAATAAAACGCCCAGAGTCTCTTTTTAAACAAAATGGGTGGTGACAAATTTGATTGATAAATAAATAAATAAATAAATATTTTAAAAAGTACCTTCTTCATCTGTAGAGCTTTCTGAATTTGAAAATTTATTCAAGTAACCAAAACTGGAAGCAAGAGCAGGAGTGTGACTAGAGTTGGAATGGTTTGATTCAGCAGCACGGTTTCCCAGTTCTTTCGTTGGTGTTTCCTAAAAAGGTAACGAAAGAAATGCAGCTAGCTTCTACCGCCATGCAGCTATAAAAATCAACATACATTTCGCCATCTCTTCTGGCAACAAATCTTGAAGTGTGATGGATAGAACAAAGGTAAGCATAATTCAATATTTTGGCTATTACCTGAAATACTTTACACCTGAGGAAGTCTCCATAGCTTGGCAAGCCAACCCAAACTCATTCTCACAAAAGATCTACCCTGGCTGTGCTGAACTGCCCTCCCAGAACGTAGGAAATTGCGGTATCTCATTGCAGAACTGAAAACTAGTGGTGCAACCTTGGAATTCTGTAAGGCAGGTCACCTATTTTCAAAGAGAGGCAGCACACACACATATCCTTCTGACTCTACACAACTACACACAAACTAAATGGATTATGTAATTACACGAGGATATCGTGGCCACCAATTTTGTTTTAAGCCTCCTGTGGTTTCTTTGCTTAATTTCTCTTTACTGGTATAATTCGGAGTAGAGAGAACCCTGCACAATCATAAAAAATTACATTCATCCTGTTAACAAAAGGTCATGATGAATAGCCACTAGGCAGGAAAATTAATTTAGTCACCTTTAGTTACCTATATTTCCCCATGTTTGACATAATATGGAAGGGCACAGATTTCCCCAATCTGCTAACATATTGAACCTAATGCGCTTTATGGTGCTGCTGCTGCTGCTGCTGCTATTATTCCACCTTTTATATATATTGGCAAACACCTAATCTTCCGGTCTCCTATTCGCCCCACAACAACAACTCAATGAGGTGGCTTGGGCTGAGAGAAAGTGACTGGCCCAAAGTCACCCAGCCAGCTTTCATGCCTAAGGCAGGCCTAGAACTCACCATCTCCTTGTTTCTAGACCAGCATCTTAGCCACACATCCTTGTCTTATCACATAACTTAAAATGACAGTGCAACACACAGGTTTCTTGCATACGAATACAGTAATTCTATCACATAGCAAGATATAGCTTTTCAAGTCTGTTTGGGAAACAATGTTTTGTAGAAACAATGGCATCTCAAATGCTTCTCCAAGATTATGCTGTTGGTGCCCTGACTTCTCCCCTCTGCTCACTGTCACCTTTGGTGGACATGAACTCCATCACTGACTGTACTTGGATGTCACACCAAGCCAGGCTAATGATGTAGCACTGAGTGTGCCCACTCTACTACTAACTGCCATGGGAACAAACAGTGGCTGCCATCTAGTGTAGAGCCTAATCTGTCATCTTTACACAGGACATACACTTCCTTCTGCCTTACCTAACCAGAGAAGGAAGTGACCATTTTTTGAAGTCTATTCTTAAATCCAAGTATTAAAAAAAACCAGATACCTGATCAAAAAGATATACAGTGACATCATCAAAGAATGTTACTGCTTTTCTTTCGTTCTTCTGAAAGGTTTCAGTAGGATTATTCTCCCTGTATTGCTTTGGATGTTTCAGCAAGCTCCTTAGATATCTTCCATCATTCCCATCACTTAGGATTTCTGGCACTTGATGCATAATTTCCTCATCACTGTCAGAGCTAAGCCCGTGAAGATGGAAAGTTTTCATATCATCCTCAGAATCATCGCTGTTTCCATCTTCCTCATCAGCATCATCTTCATCTAATGAGAGATCCAGCATCCCAGAAACATCAAGTTTACCAAGATACTTTCCTTCAATATCTGGTTCTTTTAACTTATGGCCTTCAAGGTGACACAATATGGATTTTTCAAAGACTTCAGAAGGACCATACAAGTTTGGCATAACCTTTAAATCACCCTCAGGAAAAAAATCTGCTGTACTGGTGCCTGTGCAAGATACACTTTTGGGGAAATCCTCATATATTTCATCTTCATCTATATGTTCTAAGTCAGTAACAGGTGGCAACAAAGTTGTATCATCAGTTTTATGGTGCCACTCCTGCTTTGTTTTATGAGACTCACGGTCCTCTACTTTTCCATCTACATCCAGCTGTGAGGTCAAGTTATTGGTGAACTGATAATTAACTATTTGATTGCCACTTAAATGATTTTGTGTATTCCCAGTATTTTCCATTTCAAAAGAATCAGTGTTGTCCTTTGTTAATACTGTTGGCTCTTTTGATGGATTCATAATCTCAGATTTCTTATCTATCTCAGAATCATTATCAGAAAAATAGGCTGAATCTCTATATGAATTATGGATGCCCTCAAAAGTTGTTTTAGTGGGTTTTTCAAACTTATCCTTGATATTTGTTGTGTCTGCATAAGAATTTACATCTGCTGACACAATTATCATGGGGTTATCATGTAAGAGATCACCACCAGCACTAGATAAAGCAGATTCGTTAGAATTGCTGCCAACAAGATGTGAAGTCCATTCAGGAGATTCTAGATTTTCAGTTTCATAGCCACTATCAGCAGGTTTATCAGGTGGCAAAAATTTCTGGGGACTCTCTGGTTCAAAGGATTCTAAAACTTCATTAACATCTAATGCATCAAATGAATCTGGTGTATCTACCAGTTGCCCCAGGCTCTGGGTTGAAATTGATAAACTGTCTTCTAGTAGACTGTCATGACTCATACGATCTGTGGGAAGAGCTTCTGTGTCATACCTCTGAACTTGAGAAGTTCTATCACTTTGCTCTAGAACATAGGCATTATCTTGTTCTGATTTAGAGTTTAAATCATGGGTCAACTCCCAAGAGTTACTACTGTGTCTAAGTTCCTGTTTATTTTTCTGTTGTTCTTCTTGAGCATTGAGTGCAACACCATGACAGGAGCTGATCCCATCAGTCTGGTTTTTGACATTTGTGGATTGGATATCAGTTGAACCAAGTTCAGAGACTTGTTCCATTCCAAGGTAAGAGGCAGCAATACTGTGGGTAGAGTTATCTTCAACCTCTATGTTAGAAAGTTTTTTTTCAGTGCTGGATAAAGAGAACAGGAGCTGCTTATCTATCACAGGTGAACTAGAAAGCATCTGACTCTGCACGAGGGTACTTTGATGTGGCCCTATTCGCACAAGCAGCTCATCTTTAGTGTCATGAGCATTTCCACTAATATTACGTTCAGCTCCCAAAGAGTTCGTATTTGGTGGCTCTAATTTATTTGTTTGGTCATGTGCTCTTCTGAGATCACTACCATCTTCTTTACTCGCTGTCCGCTTTAATAAATTCTTCTCCTGAAGAAAAAGAAAGTTATCAGATAGCTCCTCTAAAGTCAGTAAGCTAAGTTCAGAATCCTGTGAGGTATTCTCCTGCAGATAAACAGCTTCATTTTGAGAAGTGAGTGGGGAACTTTCCTTCTTGGCCAGATCATCGGTAGATTCCTCAGGATCTGAGCATGAAACTGCTTCAAGCTCCACATGAATATCATTAATATCAGCTAAATCAAGTCTACCGAACACATTTGCCAACTGTTCATTTTTGGCAATGCCACTAAATATATTTTGGGAAGGGCTAACAGGGCCAACCTTGTGCAAATTCTCTTCCTTGGGATCTGTATTATAAGAGAAAATATCCTCATCTGTAGTAGATTCAGCAGCAAAGTGCCCTAGAACCACAACATGAGAATTTTTGTCTTTCAGAACTTCAGAGTTGTCCACTTCTGTTGTCAATACAGCAGCCTGGTGGTCAAGGTTTACACTACTAATGCCTCCATTCTTCTCTTCTAACTGGATGTAATAATCACTTCCAAGAGAAGGCTTATGGGCATTAAACACAGGAAGTTCTCCAGGCACATGTAGGGACATTTCCTGTCCACTTTCAACCTGAGCTCCAGGCCCTTGCTCTGTCAGTGTGTTCTCAAACACTTCCACTGGGAAGAAGATGCTTGTGTAAGTCTTCCCTTCAACAGGATTTGACTGGTTACATTCAAAATGGTCATGTTTGGCTGCCTCCCAGATGTATTCAAAATTGAGCCCTCGACTTGTTTCGGTTACCGTGAGAACTTCTTCCATCTCACGACCAAATCTGCTGCCAGTGAAATGATCCAGGATTGGAAACGCAGAATTACCCAAGGGTTCTCTGTTTGAAATGTTCGGCTTGAGATCATCCCACTGTTCAGGATCAATTACAGAATCCCTTTGACTTTGCAAGCAGAGATAGATTAAAAGCTTCTCTACTTCCTCTGCCGTTGCTCGCTTTTCTGGAGACAGCCAACAGAACTGCAGAACTTCATACCTGTAAGAACAAGATTTCAGTACTGTTTATAACAGAACATATTTCAGATCAAGAGTTCTTTCAACAGTTTTCTAAAGTACCCTTGTTTTTCAAAATGATTTACCTGAAAAGTTTTTATTCTTTGACTAACTCTGGAGATTTCAAGTCAGAGAGCACTAAACCTGAACCTCAGGAGGGACAATCTGCAAATGGCCCTGATCTCAATGCTGAAATTCAGAACTATGATTTGAGGTTTTCTTTTTAAGAAAACATAAAGCTCAATAAAGTAGCTGTGTTAAGCCTCCGTGAGACCTTAAAGCCCACCTTAATTTTATTTTGGGTTGGGTTAAGACATGGTCCCAATTATAAAACATTACTTACCCGGCATGAACTAAACCATTCTGGGCTGCTGTTCAATTAATGTGCAAAACTCAAACAAATACACACGCACACACCTCTCTCTCACAATGTTTTTGTTGTTTTCTTTTTCTGATTTTTCTTCTATCTCTCTGTCTTTTTGGTACATTAAAGCAAGGCAAATTTTAAATTGCAATTCATAACCTCCTGTGTGGTCAGAGGGATGTGTCCCAACTCCTCCTTCCTCAGCGTTTCTTTCTTCAAGTCAGCACTGACCTCTCATTTTGTAGGCTAAAAAAACACCTGAAGCTTTTTGAGCACTGAGCATTTTGAAACTCTTTCCCCCAACTCTTATTTTATAATAGAGCTCGACTGAAAGACAAAAACTTGGTGTTTTTACCATCTATCAGAATATGGCTGCTCGAATTGTGGTTCTGAGAGCTTGGTCCGTTTTTCTTTTATGACCTGCGTCAAAACCTCTTCATTGGAGAGATCAGAATAAGGCTTTGCAGCACTGTTGAAAAGTTCCCACAATGTCACTCCCAGGGCCCTGCGAAAAGGGAAGACTTCAGTAAGATGTCAGATCAAAACAGGGCTAAAGGAATGCCAACCCTTTTGCTTCTCACGGATCAGTTTTTCAGTGGATTTACTATTAGAGCAGTGTTTCTCAACCTTGGCCCCTTGAAGATGTGTGGACTTCAACTCCCAGAATTCCCCAGCCAGCATGGCTAGCTGGGGAATTCTGGGAGTTGAAGCCCATACATTTTCAAGAGGCCAAGGTTGAGAAACAGTGAATTAGAGACGAGGTTGGAACCCGCTTTAGGAGCAAACTCATGTCTTGCCTCTCTGTATCACAGAAAGCTGTACTGTAGACAGTTTCTAAGTTTTTAAATATAACCCTGGGGAGAAAATTAATTGGTCTGACTGGATGAAAATGATGCCCTTCCGGCTTGTCATAGGAGGGGAATTTTGTTTACAGTGTAGGTTTTATTTTGTTTGGTTATCAGTGTCTGGAATTCAGGCAAATTTTTATCCTCAGGATGGAGTGACAAATAAGGTAGAGCTACTGGGATCACGAATGTCATCTTATGGAATCATCCAGTTGATTTTGTGATCTATGAATCCACACTTTCCCTCCTCCCTCGTTACAACTTTTGGCTGAGACATGTCGTTGGGGTTTTCCTACCAGATGTTACTGTACTTGGTTTGCTCTGCTGTTAACAGGCGATCCTGAAAGCTTGTCACCAGCTCCGGGGCAGTCCAGCGAAGAGGTACAAGTTTATTTTCATCCGTTTCAATATAATCTTCCTAGCATAAATGGAAATTCAAAAGCCAAGACTTCAGAGAAGGCCATATCAAATGCAATTAACTGTCTTTCATTTTGTTTAGTTAAACCCTCCCATGGATCTATTAAATAAGAATCCTTTCCACTACTAGAAAATGTCTTAGGAATGAGAAATCCCTTCCCGGATTTTTGCAGAACTGAAAGAGCAGCACAAGAATATTGGAAACAGTGAAAAAATGAGATGGGAAATGTTATGGGGCACACTGTATTCTCTTCACATTTTCTGGAATGTGATCTTCAGAGGCAAGCAACATGAAAAATCTTTCTCCCCTAAAGGAAAATGCACCAGCCTCATTAAGCTGCATCCAGACATGATGAGAATTGGAGGGGGTGTATTTGCATGCCCTCCCTAACATTGCTCTGAGTCAATACTGGCCTGAAAGATACACCCACGACAGGAAAGCCGAAGTGGCATGGATAGAGGAAGAGTAGGATAGGGGTAGTTTAGCCCAGCATGGCAACTCCTAGTAATTATTTGCAGGTCAGCATCAGTACAAATGTAAATGCATTGGGTATTACATGAAACATCTAACAATTGGGTTACAGGGCTATAAATAAAAATGAATATTTTTATTTCCGGTACGAATGCATATGGTAAGCATGAATCAGGCTGGATCTAAGTCACAACTTTAATTTAGGGAACCATATAGATTCCTGCAAATGTGTGTCTAGAATGAAAGTGGATGACTAAATTTATCACTTAAACAGATAAAAAGGAGTGCTGTAAGTAACTCTCGAGATTAATGTTTACCAAATTAACTAAACTCAAGCTCAAGGAAGCCCACTTGAAATAAATAACCCAGACTGTCAAAATCACGTTTTTACATTTGACCACTTTTAAATGTGTTGACTTACCTTGTACCTACTGAATCCTATTCCATAATCTCCAATTTTTACATTTAAATCAGATGTAAGGAAGCAATTTCTTAAAGCTAAATCACTGGAAAAATAACAGAAGAGTATTGCAGTGAGAATAAAAGAAATTTCAATAAAAGATCAAATGAGAAAATTCAAGAACACAGCTAATGTTACCAAGCGCATCTCTGAGAGCATTACCCTAAATTTCAGCTTTAAATTCAGCTTGGTGCTAAAGTGCCATAGCAACAGCCATTCAATATTATATTGGGCTCACTATTTTAAACCTGAATGATCAGAGTATTGTGTTGCAAATAGACTTTCTGTTTCTTGACCAGTATCCTTTCAGTCAGAGATCTTAGGTCAATCTCAGCAAACAGCACCATCTGGAGCAACCATCAGCTACAGAATATGGGAAATCTGCTTAGGAAGGGAAGGACATCCCCCAACCCAGATGGGGTCCCCGAAGAGGGTTCTTTTAGTGCCAATATTATTTAAGGCAGTGTTTCTCAACCTTGGCAACTTTAAGATGAGTGGACTTCAATTCCCAGAATTCCACAGCCAGCCTTGCTGGCTGTGGAATTCTGGGAGTTGTAGTCTACTCATCTTAAAGTTGCCAAGGTTGAGAAACACTGATTTAAGGTATCATGCCATCTGGTCCTTCAACTCTACCTTAAGTCTGTTTCCCAACCTGATGGCTAGGAATGGTGGGAAGTATAGCCCCAGCACATATGGATGGTGCCAGATTAGGGAAGGCTGATACAGATGATGAGAAGTACATGTTAACCTCAGAAGAAATCCACACAATAGTCTGACAGCCACGAGTGGGAAGACTTTCACCCACAGCCAAGATCCAACTGCAGCCCAGTTATGTAGTCTAATACAGGGGTTTTCCACTGATCAAGAGGCAAAGCTCTAGTGACAGAAAACTAGATGTGTTCAAGTGGACTTTTTGGGTTTTTTCCTCCCCAATCTCCCACAGAACCCATCATGTTATTGATGAAGCCTAGACTTCCATGGAGCACAGCTTGGAAAACCCTGCTCTAACACCCTAGCATTTATTTTATTCCAGGTTTTACAATAAAAGTGCCCTTTATGAGACTAGCCACTACCCTATAGATGGGAGCCCAAATGGAAAGGTGAACAAGCACCTTTCATTTTTCTGGGAAAGTAGGAAGAAGGCTGAGCTCCTGAATTTAATGAGCTTCTCACTTTAGGGCATTTCAGTATGAGAACTCTGACACGATACTTGGCTATAATATAAAGGAGCGACCTCAGCATTCAGGGTTTAAAGACTTACCCATGCACAAAATTGTGTTTATGCATCATGACAAGTCCCGCCACAATCTCACAGGCCATCCTCTGTAGCAGCATTATTTGAGAATCTCCTTTAATATTATCCTGCTCATTGCAAAGATACGTTTTTAGGTCACCCTGTAAAACAAATTTGAGAATGCTTATAAACAGCGTCTCCTGCCAATGGCAGTTAACAGGTATTTAATGAAGCAGCAACTAAACACATAGTTTAGCACTTGTCCATCAACAACATTATTAGCAGTAGTTATAAATAAACTGGTACTTAGAGAGCACTGTCATTAAATTTCAAGTCCCTTAAGGTGCCGTAGAGAAGACACACAAATGACATGCTGGGCCTCTGTTAAAGCCATCCAGCAGTTAAACTCCACTGCTAGATATGAATCATAGGGCTTAAGTTTATGGGAAGATGAAAAGGTATGTCCACCACTCTTCTCTGGGAGAAAAAAGGAAAGGATCAGGAGCTGAGAGAGAAAAAAAGAAGTTGAATGGACAGCAGTTGTGACGGTTGGGCAAAGAAAGCATATATTTGGGCTTTGCAATGTTTGTCAGTTCCCCAAAAATTGCTGAAGTTCTCTGGGAACCTGAATTTCTTAAAATGGAAATACTATACCCAGAAACATCTCATAACACCCGTTCGGTGCTGTAGATGAAAGCAGAACCTGCAGCGGAGAGAAAAGCTTCGACACACACCCACAGAGAACAACGCATTCCAGCCGCAAAAGCACCCTATCAATATTTAACAGTCTGAAGACTTAAAACATTAACAAGGTCCAGAAAAACCAAAAAAAAAATATTTCCTAGGGGCCAAAAAGGCATTAGCAAAAACATCAGGCTGGCTAGAAAGGTGGATGAAGCACTGAGCAGAACTGACTAGGGGGCAGTACAACACTAGAGAAAACCAGAGACTTTTTTTATTTTCCGGGGGGGGGGAGGTCATAGGTTTTTCCAGATTACTTGCTGCAGTTTGTGAATTAAGGATCATTACAAGTTTAAAGTACATCTAATCATTTTTAAAACCAGTTACTTTTCCTAGGTGCCTTGACTCCAAATGCATCAAGACCAAAATACACAGCCGGTCTTTTGACAAGCTTGAGAACTAAACCTCACCTAAGGCAGGGCAGCCCTTGATGTGGCCTCCAAAAGGTGCTTTGGAGCATGAACTGAGCACTTCTCTGCGACTCCTTAAAGCAAGTGCATGCAATGCCAGGAACAGATAGCACTGCTTTAAGGAGCTATAGACGCTCCTGCGCATTCCGCAGCATCTTCTGGAGACTGAATTTGAAGCATCGCACGGCCCTCTAATGTGCTGTCCTCGCACTTGTACGATGCAGGAATAGCTGTCTGTTTTGCTAAAGATGAATTCTGGATTAAAGGCACAGCCCTAACGCATCATGCCCAAGGTGCAGCATGCAGCGACATCTGTGTTTTTTAATTTAATTACAGGCTCTCTTTTCATTAGCAAATAGGGAGATGGGCAGACGGGAAAGATGTATTTGCTTCAGATACTGGCATCCCACAGGATGTAAGGCCCCCCTCGGGAACAGCTCCGAGTAATCCTTGTTAATTAGCTACAGAGCGCTTAAGGTGACATCTTCCTGATCTTTGCCAAGTTAATGCATGCCATCTTTAGTGTCATGGTTTGAACAGGGCATCTCAAAAAGGCATTAATTTAACATAACTTACACAATCTTTCCCGGGCATCATGTCTCATGCACAATTAAAAATACCTGTTTAATTCATGTGTATGAAGTCACAGACCACGTTCCTACTTTAAACTTTTAATCAAATCCACTAACGGTTCTAAAAAAACCCCTCACATTTTGATAGACAAAAGATGCTCCCAATTACATCTACTAAGGAATTAGGGTTTTTTTTAAAGAATTTAAATACAAAGAGTTGTAAGAAGAGCAGATGTCACATTCTGAGAGCATTTCCATCTAAGTACAGCCATATCATAATATATGTACCAAACTCTATTTATTTAACTACATGCTGTTGGAAAGAATTAAGACCTCTCATCTGCCGTGAAATTCCCACCATTCCGCTTCACTGGATGACCCCAGATCTAACACTAAGAGAAAGAAGAATATTTTACTCATTTTTTTCACAATATGCACATTATACATCTTCATTATTTTTGAAACCCCTCCTTTCTTCTAAGGTCAACATCACAAACCAAGGATTCCCTCAGGGGTAGCAACAGTTCTACTTCCTTGATTTCTTGACTGGGCCTTTCTTGACCATCTCCAGCTATTGTTGTTGTTGATGATGACGACGCACGAACTACCAGACAGCTCTGATTGGATTGAGGACTTTTGTCTAACTATCTTAGATCCTTGGGAGGATCTGATAAACACATCATCATTATATACGTGCTACTCCAAGTAATGCAACTTTTTGTAACGGATGAGTTGAGATTCTGTCCATTCATCTGCTGTCCAAGTACCTTTTCAGATCTCTGGGATGGCACCAAGTGCTCCAATCACTTCTGGCACCATTATGCCTTTCTTTTTCCACATTTGCTTGATCTCTATTTGAAGGTCTTTATATTTCTCTATTTTTTTTTTTTTAGTTCACTGAAAGATCTAAACCATACAAACTTGGAGGCGCGAGTAAGTGACAAAGTCAAAGGGCCCAAATTATTCCAGATGATCAGTGAGGAGCAAGGGGATACTTGGATAGATAAGGAAAAGACTATAAGAGTCTTTTAAGATAATGAAAGAAAACTGATTAGAATCAAAGGCCAGAGGCTGGTTTAGGCCTTTCTTCACAAGAGGAGGAGAAGGAGGGATGAGGGAGGAAGAAGACAGAAGAAAATTCCCTACTGTAACTACAGTATAAACTTCCTGTTTCTGGAAATATAGAGCCAAGGGTTCACACCTGAAGAATTCATTTTCCAGATGTGGCAGAATCCAAGATAAGAATCCAAGAGAGACAGAGCACATCAGCTGGGACCAAAGAGCTAATTTTCACCTTCCCACCAGGTTGCTAAAGAAGCAGTCAGAGACTTCCTGCACAAACAAGACTGGCTTGCCAAGCAGGCTAACCTGCAATAGAAACATTACATCCACTTCATAATACGAATCTCTGCTCATCATTCGTCATTCTATCAACAAGGAATTTGGTGCACCGACAAAAGATTGGCCACATATCATCGGGTAATATATTACAGCTAATTAGCTGGTTACTACCCTATTTTTAACCTAGGATAACCTCTATGATGATAGGAAATAATACACCATTAGTTAATTATAGATTAAGTGGGCTGCCACAAACCCAGTGTGTAAGCGACTACAGAATCGTCCCGGACAAGAGGAGAGGAGAGAGCAATTGCTCATTTAGGAAAGAGCAGGAGGTCTAATTTAGGAACAGCTGAACAACAAACGGGTCCTCACTGAAGACTCCAAACTGGATGTTCTTTACATTCAAGACCCTGAAAGAGAACCTGCAAGTTTTGACAGCTGTAGCTTTCTTGACAATCTCTCATAGTTAACGTCGATGGGCTACCAGCCAAAACTGGGCCAGTATCATGGTGGTAAGATGCACACCAACACAAGATCTGCCAATGTTGTGCCTCAGTACAGACATTACACTGATTTACTGCTAGCAATTGGAAAGTGATAGTAGAGCATGCTTCCACTGAGAATACCCTAGGAGGGCACCTACCCAAAATGCATTTCCTATTTGATTAAGCACTGTGGACCAAAGTCTATTACATCACTTACTCAGTAATACCATCTGGCAAGAGACAGATTTTTGGACTAGTCTCATCCTGAGGTTTCCATAGCTGACTCAAGCGAGGCAGAAGTGTGTGTAGAATTGTGAGGGAAAGGGGATGAAGATTCAAAGCTATTAGCCTTGAGGGCAGCGCAACTGCCTCTGAAGACCATCTGCTGGGAGACTAGTGGGCTTCCTTGTGCAGTGGGTTGGCCACTGTGAGAACAAACTGCTGGACTAGATGGGCCAGGGGTTGGATCCAGCAAGGCATCACTTATGTTCTTACGAAGCTCAACCCTAAGGAAAGACTCCCATGAAATAATGCTGACTACCAGACCTCTAGATAAATTATTGATCACTGGAACAAACCAGAGCACAAATTTACCACTCCAAAAGAGTGTTTCAACCAGCTGTAGATGCTAGCACCAATTGCCACATGGGAATGTGACTGTATAGCAAAACAGCCAGGATTTATCTGCTTCAGTTAGAAGCTTTTACCACCTTACTTTACGAACGTTCTTGAGTGTAGTTGTAGCTATAAATGTATGTGTTCACAGGGCTGAGCAGACAAATGCAAATTAACACTAGCATCACCTCCCACTCTTCTTCTCACTTACAAAAGCTGCACTCATCTCACATACTTGCGACTACCGAAGTGTTTTGGCAGCTGTTGTACATTACATTCTTCTGCTTCCAAGACAAGCTTGAGTTTGACTAAAACAGACAGTACCACAGCAATTTCTTTCAATAGCCATAATTAAAAGAGCAGTTGTGCTTATGGACTCCAGCTCCTTTATATGCAAAGTTCATTGTATTATACTGTGTCCTGAGAAGCAAAGTCCTTGTATGAATTACATGCACAGGATCCAAGCACAGAATCGTTCTGATACTATGTGCTAAGTAGCTGAGCGACAGGAGCATTAAGAAACTACTTTCTTTTAGGTTTAATATGCAAAAGCTTCTTGGAAGCAAGCTGAATTGTCAGAAGCATGAAAGCACACAGATGCAAACAAAATATCTCCAAGCAGCTATGCATTTTTCACCAGAAAGAAACAAAAAAAAAGATAATGCCAATTTATCCTACACAATCCCTGCCACCCTCCTCAGAGGTCAGGAAATTAAATGAAAAATAATTAGCACTGAATATCTCTAGAGACACAAAAAATATTGCAGAATTAATATAAACAGGCCAGACCAACCTAGATATATATATTTCAGAGGTCTGGATGGGTGGGTGGGTGTATAAGTAAGTAAGTAAAAAAATAACCTGGAATGGCAGAGGTAGTTTTACCAGGAAATGCAACTGCCCTATCATGTTGCTGAATAATGACTGTAACACATTCTGGGTGCATGCAAACGTATTAAGAACACTAAAAAGATGTTAGAAGAGCAACTTGTCTTGCAAGGTAACATCTAGCTTAAATAACTTTGACAGATAACCAACTGAGTTTTATTATATTTTGTTAGGCCAGTGCATTGTTTCTATTGTCCATTTGTCTTGTTCATTCTAGCTAAACAAAATCCAAGCAAGCCACAATGGTTCAGATTAAGCCACAGACAAGACCTCCATGTCATCTGGTATCCCTTTCACCTAAGACTACCACAGAATGGTCCTTCCTTCCCCAGCTCACTGCTCCAGGAGAAGAAAAGCAAAAAAGCACCTTCCTGAAATTCACAGAACTTCTCAGGGAACTATCAGCAAGGTAGACATCAACCCGAACTCAAACTGCTCTTGACTGATACTGCATTTACTCACCAAGTCACAGAATTCAAACACCAACAGATAAGGAATTGCTTCCACATATTGGCCAGTACAGCGGAGAATATTTGGATGCTGAAGAACACTGTAAAGAAAAGACCAGAAAATAAATACAAAGATCAGGAACAATTTTTTTTTTTATTATTTATGGCTTATGACACTGAAAACCCGGGAGGAAAAAGATAATTACTCTGAGTCTGCTGATGTATTGGGAAATGGTAAAAGCTAAACCCAAGGAAACATTTCACAGAAGCCTAATGCTCTTAACAAACATCTATACATCTTTGCGAATGTTCCTCCTGCTCACATTAGTCAACTAATCAGAATTCTTGGCTTGTCTTTCAGCAAACTTTCCTACAATTCAGCCTGGCTTGAGATTTTGGGAGTGGCTGCCTCTGGAGGGCACCTGGCTGGGGATGGTGGAGTTCACTGCTGCTTGTCTATTCACTCCAAACATACGTTAGCAAAGGCCCGAGAGGCTACTTACAAATATGGCTCCCCGTGCCTCAAGAACCGCTCCTGCTCCTTGGGACTGGCACTGGCTTTTAACTCCTTCACAACAACTCTGGTCACACTAGTACCGGTGTAAACTTCCCCCAGCAGAACCTGAAAACAAAAGAACTAAACCTCAGTTCCACTTCAAAAACCGAGAGCAAACCTGGCGTGCATCCAGAAGTGAAGATCAGTAGAAAGTTTATTAAGAATGTCCTCAAGAACTGTCTTGTAGCCAGATGAACGTTTGCTCCACTTAGTCTGGGACAGGGATGACCAGCCTAACTTACAGCAGCTTTTTTTTGAGGTCCCAACTCTTACTGGACCAGGAGCTTTACTACAGGTAAGGAATGCTCCCTGGGTAATGGTTTGGCAATGTTTTCCTGCTGCCCACAAGTTCTCTTGGAGGCCTAGAAATATAACATTCTGATATGCAGCTTCAATTTCTAGCAGGAAACTAGGTTAATATATTTACAATTACTACAACAACACCTTTCTCAGCACACAAGCTTTCTTGGCAGCGGAATACTTTTCAAGCAGTGATTTAAGATTTGGGCTAATTACTATCCACCTAATTGCCTCATAGCCCTGGTCCCATTTTGTTCAGACTCTGAAGAGAAGAGCTTCAGGGTACCATTAAAGTAGGCTTGAGACATTGTGCTTCCTAAGATGCAGCAACAAATGTCATTAATTTCAGATTATTTGTACCCCAGTCTCCAACTTATTGGAGTATATGAAACAGATGATTTCATAAATATTTGTGAAACCAGATTTACTAAGAAATTTCTGCCCTTATATGCCATCCAAAACCTGCAGAAAAGCAAAGTCACCTCCCTCTACTGAACAGTAGTACATGTAGCTAAAACAGTGAAAAACCATCAGTAAGTTTCTCCTCCATAAATCTTATTAGGTCAAGCTTAGATTCTGTCTAAAGTTATTTACTAAGAATGGAAAATTTCAAGCTACTGCCCAGGACTTCATTTTAAAATAACATACTCATTTTAACCAAACAGATGTAAGTCAGATCTGGAGCGGTGTGCCAAAAATTAAATTATGCCTGCATGTTCTTGTGGCTGTTACATAACAAAAAAATGCATCAGGGAGAAACAGAAGAACAATATTGTTTTCTGTCTTTTAGAATCTTATATTACCAAGAGAGCACATAATGAGTTCTGAGAGTTTAAATGTTCAAGTCTGTGATCATATTTCACAACAAAACAGGGATACTATTCTTCTTTACACAAGCATATTACCAATGCTTGTACCGGCTTTCAGCAAAACATTCATTTCAAAAGCCAATTACCAAATTCTCCTAAAGCTTCTTACCGTGAAGATCGCAAACTTACACTTCACAATTGATTCAAGAAACTTGTTGTTGTTGGGGGTTCACTCTCACCACTGAAAAATATTTTAACTGACAGGTAAACGAACAGAAGAATTATAATATCCAAATATGGATTTCTTACCTTTCCAAACCATCCATTTCCTATTTCTTGAATATAATTGAGATTTTGACGGGCAACCTGAGATTTCAGATCTTCTGTCATGTAAAGGAAATAAAATGTATCAAAGGAATCAGCTGCAAATTTATCTTTGGCTGGATTAACAATTTTTTCCAAGAAATCCAATATAACTCTCCCATTACAGCAGGCCAAAATCATATTTAATCAATAAGTAATTTGAAGCCACATTGAATGTTGTGTGAAGAGACTTCCTGTCACTCTACTCTTGTCATGTCTCCAACATCCGCTCTGGGATACGTGGTGAGATTAGAAATTGTTCTGTTGAGGTAACAGCATCTGCCAGTGGAATGAGACCACTGGATACAACCCAATATTTGTGCCTCTAAGTGATTTCCCACAGATCTGTATTCATTCCCTGTACATTAAGCAGCCCTACCAATGACATTATGAATCCTAACAGATCAAACCATGCTGGTCGCACTGAGTAGAAAAAGAGAAAATACAGAAGCTAGGTTCATGCAACACATTCATCTCTAAATCCAGGCTAACAAAACACAGTAGCTGCAGTTATATAACAGGTGATGCTCAAACCAATATTCTATATTATGGCCTAGCATGATGGCCTGTTTCATACAATACACTAAGACAATAGCTGGGATCTCACACCCCTGTTTTAGCCCTCTTTGCATGTTCTGCAAATGCAGACAACAGTCCTAAGCTTCTTTTCCTTATTTTAGGAAGACCACCCCACCATCCCACATGCCCTTTCTGTAGTTATGAAAATGGGATCAAGCTTCACGAGCATTTCAAGGTATCAAACCCCAAACAGAACAGAGGCAAATTTCCTATCCATAAGATACTCATATAAGCTCTTCCCATTCATTTTCAGAAAAAGCTACATTCACTTCCCCTCTCCACCACCCAACTAGGTATACTTGAGGGTAAAACACACTGAACTCAGCCAGATTTAGTGACCACCCTTCCAAGTTAAACAGGATTTCTTCAAATGTGCATTAGACATCCACAGCATTAAAAAAAAAAGAAGAAACCTAACAGTTCGACCAAGTCATCATTCACGTTGTATAAGTGCTAATGATTATAACAAGATCCTGTGCTGAGGCACCACAGCCTGGCTGGGTTCCAAAACCTAAGCATATCTGTCACTCCCAATCATACACAAGATTGTGTCTGTGCCTGCAGTAGCAAGAAGAAACATCAGAGAACCAACCAGTGCCATGATGGAATACTGGAGGGGACAGGAGAGGGAGCGCAATTATCTGATAGGGATCATCATACCTGCTGGAAGTTGGAATTGTGATGGAGCTGGTAGAGGAACATTGGGAACCGTAAGAGTAAACACTTCCGCTGGAGACTGAATTGTTGGTGTGTCTTCTGCAGGCGGGGTGAAGTCTATTTCGTCATCAAAATTATCTTCAAATTCCTACAAAAGCGAAGAGATTGGCAAACCAACATGGTCATGTCCTATTCAGAAACTCAGAACTGATTTGCGTATCACAACCCAAGCCCAGTTTATAAGTCTTGGTTGCATCACTATATAGATCACAGACATCAAAAGCTTCTGAGCCCATAATGTCATGTTTTATAGAAGAATACACATTATTCTTTTGTAAAAGAGATTACCAACAGACATTACTCAACTTTGGGTTTGTTTAGGGTGTTTCATTCAATACATTATTGATGTATTTCTTGAATACAGTGGCCTACCAGATGCTGCTAAACATCAGCTATTAACCTCCCTCACCAGTTAAGACTACTAGAAACAGATGACTGAGAAGGCTATAGATACCCCATCCTTTGTGAGCTCAGTACCCATAGTTGCAGACTGCAGATCTTAGATTTGCAATAATAGGAAAAGGATCAAAATAACTGTGTCCCCTAATAGTTCAGAGATAAGATAAATGTATTTTCCTTTGCCAAAAGGATCATTTTTAACTTCCATATAATTTTCAAGGGTTCTTACATATTTTAAAATACAACAATGACAATGCAATGCAAAAACACATCATCACGATGCAAAGCACATCTCACCATAGCACAAAAATAACTCTACACCAACCATAAGTAACAATGAAAGTATATTCGTGGCTTAAGCTGCACATGGTACAGCTGCCGAAAAGATTTTACTTTGGGTTTTTTTTTTCCCCCGTGAACTTGCAACCCTTGTTTGCACAAAGTGGGCTTGATTGCAATACACATCATGCACCACATGGCACCATATTTCTTTGGATACCGCTGTGGCTGCAGAAGCCAATCTTAATTCAGCTACAAAATCTTTTAGACTGGACTGCAAAGGAAATAAGAAGTTTCAAATTCTGCAACACAGAGATAACTTTGAACCAGAGGATGAAAATTGTCTTTTAACAGAACTGCTCTGCATAACGTTTGGTCCATTATACTGAAAGCAAACCTGGTTTATGACTCTGGCTTGTTATTCTTCTATACGGCACAATACCTGGCTCAGGCAAAGCTCTGAGATTCCAGCCATTCATTCTTATTTACTGATGGATGGAAATGGACCTATGCCATTTTTAGCCCCTCCTGAGGTAGAGAAGTCATGTGGGTAGCAGTTGAACAACACACATGGCCATGTTCCCCATTTCCAGTCAGCAAGACCATTTATAAGTCAAGTTATACCACAGTGCTACATACAGCACCCCAAAAGGAGCTTGATTAACCACTGGTTTCATTCAATCAATCCGTGCAAGATTTATCACTGAGATTTGCAAAGCAGGAGAGGAGAGCGAAGAGGCCCTTTAGATAGGCCCAATGGTTTCCCTCTGTCTAGAACAGTTTTAACATTCTCCTTCAACAGCACCCTCCTCTTAACTTCCATACACAAAGAGCTACATTAAAAAAAAAAAACCTTTGAAGATGACCTCCATTCCAAAAGATGACCATTATTTCAAGAGACATATATTACAAACCATGTTAGGATTCTAATTTCTAAGTACAGAACCAGTCTCGCCCTCCACCCCCAGTCCTGGTGTTTAAATTTTTGCTGGATTCTGCTCAAATTTTTCCTATCAAATCCACATGGGTTTCTATTTTAATTTTTTATCTCATGTGACAGTTTCTTTGTGCTTCAGCCCACACAGGAAGTGCTAGCTTTGCTGTGAGATTTGGCTATCCTAATATACCTGCAAAGGAGGCAACGTATGGCTTACATGAACACCCAAGGAATAGGATGCCTTGATCGAGGATCTTTTAAGCTCAACATTCATTCAGGTGTAACTACAGAACTTTCTAGAACAATATTTTGTTTGTCTCATTCTTTGCATTTCCAGAATCCAAATCAATCCATATCTTGATGTGTTCATCCTCTAGCTACGCATTTGAAGGTACAGAATAGTTCTGGAATTGCTTGTTGCATAAACAAGCGTGAAGCAGCCTAGCAAGATGACGGCATCTTGCTGACCTTGAAAAGCTAAGTAAGGTGAGACTTTCTTAAGTACTTGGACAAAATTCCTCCAGAAAGTCTCAAGGCTGCATGCTAGACTGGGAAGTCAAACCATTTCCATGTGATGCTACCAAAAAAGCTACATGGACATTTCCCTACAGTCATCCAGAAGATGAGCTCAACTTAAAAGAAATGAATACCTTTTACTGAATGATCAGGCCTCAAACAATATTGTTACTTTCTTCTGCTTTTTTCCTGAATCCCATTAGAAAAGAAATGATGAAAGAGGCATTTTTCATTTATTTATTTCAGTCTCTTTTCATCCTGAGATATATTTATAGACATGCCCAAATTTCCCACTTGAAACCAATAGATCCATACCACCATAAAAGTGATTTGCTCTATGTTCACTTTCCATTCCAGTTAGCTATTAGCCTGGTCCTAGCACATCTACTGACACAATTTCCATTTTATAAGTTTCTTCAGTTGTTCAATGACTTTGAAACTAGAAGGGCTACAAAATTTGGTCTGGAATACATTAGCTCTTTCTTAGCCTCTGTGCAAGTACAGCTACAAGTTTGTTCCAAATGCATGGCAATTCTAAATAATTTAAAATGACTTGGGGAAATCACCTTAAGAAAACAGTTCTAGGCTTCACTTGAAGAAAGTGATATTTAATATTCCCTAGCATATTTATCATATCTCCATCTATATCTTTGCTATGGTGCCAGGTGCATTCAAATACAACAGACAAAAGCATTTCTTGATACTACTCACCTTGAAGTTAATCTCTTGATCTTTACAGCAGGAGACACAATTTACAAGTAGTAGTATCAAAGCTAAGAGGCCACAGGCAGAAAGAACCACCAGGGAAAAGGAAATTTCAATGGCTGCCTCTTCTCCTAGAGAACAAGTAGGGCATAAATTAAATGTGATTTAATACATTACAATACACAGAGTGAACACTGCAAACTTTAGGAGAAAGGAAGTTAACATTTCTCAAAATTGGCTTCTAAATCCTTGCTTGTTGGCATATTTAACCGAATCCTTTGTAAGGAAGACAGCATAAATAATAAGCTATCAGGTTTCTATCTCTTTTAAGAATCAGTGAACCTCAATTTACAGCGTTTCGTTTCTGACAAACCCCCTTCCCACACACACTTCTGATTCAACATAATAATTAGTACTTGGATTCCTTCATTGTTCCTTTTTGCATCATATCAACTACATTATCACTAGCAGATGAGACTTAGTGTGGTCATCTTTTTATTTCTGTCTGTTGTCTTAGGCATAAAATGGTTTATATGCTTTAAATCTGCCACAGACTTTTTTGCACTAGAAACAAGTTATTACATGTGAAGGTTTCCAAATTATCTAAAGTAGACTTGTGGTATAACTACAGGATATCCATATACAGCAGCAGGATATCTACAGTTATTCAGCTGCTGGGAACAAAGAGAGATTTCTTTGCTTGTGAACGTTCTAGTGGCATCTGGTTGGACACACCTTAAACCAAAGGTTAAGTGGGATTGTGTCCAAGATTATTATGATATCTTGCTGGTCCAGATCAAATTTTCTCTCAATTAACAGATGTTATAAATCTTCCAAATATGACACATGCATAGACTAAAAGGATTCTTAATTAGTATTTCTTGGAGGGATCCACTGATGGCATGTATCAGCAATTATTTTTAAATTACCGCCTAAAGCATATTTGCCAAGCTGATAACTAAGTATTATAATTTGTTTGGATGAGATGAACAGTTCTTCTTAAATGTAATATGTGCAATATCAGAGAAAGAGGATAAATATCAAAATATATCAGAATTTTGTTCCAGAATTTTTATCCCACTCAAATAGGCCAAGTCTTTTTGAGTAGTGCCTACAATCAGTGAAGAAAAATTTTATAAAGAAAAATCTCTAAAAAAACTCTAAAAGAAATTATACAGAAGAAAAAGGAGACTGAGCAGGGTAGAATGAGACTCAAGCAAGCTGTAGCACCAATTCCTGAGGTTAAATTCTAGTTTTTCAATAATGATCAGCTAGTTATGGCAGACAAGGATAAATAAATTTTTCGGTAATAGGATAACCTTGTTTCCACATATGAAGAATACAAAACTATATTTTAGTGAAAGAAAGTGTTCTGAAAATTCAGCACAATTCAGCCTTGGGATACATACAGCCACTCCTAAAAAATAAAAGCCTGAAAATAGCCAACAGAAGGAAAAGTAATTGACTGAATGCCACTTTATTTCTCCAAAATCGATGTATTTTTAAAAAATACAGGTAGTCCTTGACTTATGACCATTCGAAATTACAACGGCACTGAAAAAGTGATTTATGACTGGTCCTCACACTTACGACTGTTGCAGCATCCCCACGGTCACATGATCAAAATTCAGGTGCTTGGCAGCCAGCATGTATTTATGAGGACTGCAGGATCCCGGGGTCACGTGACCACTATCTGCGAACTTTCTAGCAGGCTTTCAATAAGCAAAGTCAATGGGGGAAGCCAGATTCGCTTAATGACCATGTGATTGACTTAATGACTATGTGATTTGCTTAATGATGCACCAAAAAGGTCATAAAATTAGGCACACTTCATTTAACAACTGCATCACTTAGCGATAGAAGTTCCAGTCCAAATTGTGGTCATAAGTCGAGGACTACCTGTAAGTTCAACATTTTATGAAAGCATTTTAAAAAAAAGAAAGATCCTGGAACATACACTTTATGCTGCAATGAAGACTCACAACTTACAGGAAAACTATACTGTAGAACAAAATACAGTACTGATGTGACAGCAGGGATGTGGGAGTTCAAAAGCAGAGGAGTCATGCCACTGCAATCATCACAGCAGGAGAGAGTTCCCAAGACACTTTTAGTTAAACCAGGAGGGAACAAGGGCATAAAGCTCCATTCTAAAGGAGTTTAGTTTGAGATCACCCCAAATGATCAAAGAGTAAGCCTTTAAACCCTGCTTAATCTGCATATTTGCCTTTAGGATCTCTATGAGACATGCTTATAAATTAACTTTTATGTGAACGTGCCCAGACCTGAGAATAACTCACTCAGTAATCTTGGCTACCTTTCTGACTACTGTTAGACATTCCCTCAAGTACTGTTGCAATTTCATCCAGACTGCTTTGATACAAAGCTATGTGGTCACTTGTATCTGTAAACGTCAGCTCATGGAGTTTTATACTCAATGACTTAAAAAGAGAACATCAAAGGTACTCTTCTTGAACACTTCTACATAATGGTGGCTTTGATCTTTATGGATCTAAATATTAAGCAGGATACTTGAAAGATGGGTGACTTATCAATTTGCACCATTCCTAAGATTAGAGACCTAGCTAAGTGCTTTCTCTTTCAATTTAAGTGAGATGAACAGTCCATCAAAGATACAGGTCATCCTCATTTAGCGACCACAATTGGACTGGCAACTTGGTCATTAAGTGAAGCAGCCACTAAGCAGAACTCTGACTGTGCTTATAATCTCATTTCAGCTTTCCTTTGCATTACAGATCTGCAAAGGTTGTCAAAGTTACTTTTTCACCACTGTTGTCACTGCGAATGGTCGCTAAACGAGGCAGTTGCTACACGAGGACTACCAATATGTCCTTTTCTTTTTTAGTGATGGTGCCCCGACTCCAAATTCCTCACTGGCATCCTGAAGGCCCCACTTAATACAATCCTGTTTTCTTGGGCTCTTCATAGGTTAGAAATATGCTTTGTTACTGTTAATCGATAAATTTCCTTTTAGCAAGTAACAAACACTCTGGAAAACAGATGTTTTCATGCAGCCTGTTTATGGATCACCAACACCATTTCAACTTGGACGCACCCAAAATGAACATTCTTCCTTATTGCTAAGAACTGCTTTGAGTCTACATCACAGAAACACTTCCCTAAAAGTTAGCCAGATGAACATTATTAGCATTATGCTAATGCTACTCTTATGCAGGAACAAAGGAATCATTTGAAAGCTGGCACCCCAAAAGAGGGAAGGAGCTCTGCATACAGACGCAATATATGTTCATCATGCAACTGTACAGTCAGAAGTTGAGCAAATGGTTATTTCAGACCTATTTGTAAGAGTACAAACAAAGCCGGAAATTAGCTAGAAGAATAGGGGAGGGAAGAATGTGTCACAATTATATCACACCCCATGTGAGGTTGCCAAGTCACCTTGCCTCTCCCTTAACAAACAAAATCATCACAGCAATTAATCCCTATTCGCAGGCTCTCTTTCCACTCAGGAAACAGTAGATTTAGAAAGATGCGTTAATCCCAGGAGTCTGTTCAGGGCTGCTGAACTCCCTCCCAATCCTGTTAATCCAACCAATCAGAGTCTCTGATACTGAAAGTGATCTGTCAGTCAAATCTAGTAGGGTTATTCAGACCATGGGAATTTGCTCATCAACACCAGATTTATTCTATTAAAAAACAAGAAACATATACATGCCCTCAAAATCTTATAACAGCTTTTATAACCTGGCATCTTTCAGATGTGTTGAAACTTCAAGTGCCCTATTTCAGGCATTCGGCAAGGCTCCTTCCTTGGGAAGTACCCCAGTTTCACACAGATTCAGTTTGGAGATTAACTTCAAATGCAATTCAATCCAAGCTCCAAATCAGCTTTTTTGAACTGCCCCAGAATAATCAGGCATATTCCACACTCCAGGATGATTCAGAAAGATTTTGCACATCACGAAAGCTATTTTTTTCAAATCAGTTTGGGAAGTCAAATCAGTTTACTTTCCCAAATCAACATGAATGATTGGGTCAATGATCCAAATCAAATCAAAGCCGATTCACATAAAGGTAGGATAGCCGAATCACGGTTTAACTTGGTTGGCATACTTATGAACAACAGACAGCTGCCTCTTTCAAAAAGAAGGCAACTACTGTATACCACAGTGTTTCTCAACCTTGGCAACATTACAATGTGTGGACTTCAACTCCCAGAATTCTCTAGCCAGCCATGCTGGCTAGGGAATTCTGGGAGTTGAAGTCCACATGTCTTCAAGGGGCCAAGATTGAGAAACACTGCTCTAATAGTAAATCCATTGAAAAACTGATCCGTGAGAAGCAAAAGGGTTGGCATTCCTTTTGATCCTAAAGAAGCCACAGACAGAATTCCTGGTCTGCTTAGCCCCTCTCATAAGCTCAGGGACAAAACTCAGGCAAAACTCACCATTCCTTTTACATGCTCCAGGTAATCTAGAATTCTAAATCTCTCAGTAAAACAGCAAACCCAAGACACCAGATCCAAGGATATGTCTTGACTATCTTCTTGGCTAATATAAGCAATGTATTATCTACAGGACAGCTAAGTATTTCTGACTGTTAACCACAAACAACCACAAAGGCAGCTATGCAAACCTCAGAAAAGCTGGAACTGATTTTCACTTCTGTTTTCCAGATTCCCATGAACAGGCAGGAGATCTGGTCAATTATTTTTGAATGTACTGTGACTGAACCTTTACCCAGCCTTCAACAACAGCCATCAAGGACAAAAGGAGAGGAGACGGGCAGAATTAGCAGGCCCTGAATAGCTAAGTAAAAAAAAAAAAAGTAGATATCTGCTCTTGTTGCGTACAGAACAGAACTATAGCATAGTACAGACGCCTTCAGTGTGGTTTCTACAAATATAACCTAAGGGGCAATAGATAGATCCAACTGCCAACCTTACAACAATCCTAAATTTTTATTTTTATTTTTAACATAAAACCTGTTTCTTACCTTTCCAGAGCCTATGCATTGCTCAGATAAGAACAGCTCCTTAACAATGCACATATTCATTCCTTTTAATTAACTTTATTGTTCCAGAAACTCTAAATTCTATACAAATTTGGGATTAAAACACACAAATTAGGCAGATTGTTGCAACCTGGTACATAATTCTGGAACTTGTTCTCCATTATGGGGGACCACATTTCCAGAATGAACAAGGAATAGCAAGCATGTTTTTTATCTTTACTTGGAAGTGAAGACAAAGGCCATTTTTGCCAAGCCAAACAACACACGCCCCCCCCCCATATTATTACATATTACATATTATTTGTAACAGGACCTACTCCAAAGACTTAGAGCAGCCAATGGTAACATTAGCATCTAACAGAGGTTTCCTACTGCAATAAAGCACAATACGAATAAGATGGTTCATATGTCTTATTCTCTCTTATCTTCGTGAGCAAAAACCAGGAAACAAACAGCAGTGTCTGGCACCTGTATCTGACATGAGGTTAAGCAAGTCCACCCAATCAAGATGAAAAGCCAGGATTCACAAGTTAATAACACGTGGAAGTTGAAAATGGGCTTAGGTGTTCATTTAACCACAATTCTAAGATTGGACATTGTATGAACCCATCAGCTTCTTGGTTTCTTTACTCATGGGAAGGGATGGGTCAATGGGTTGGTTATTCTTGTCATGGTTTATTAAAGCAGGATCTGTAACCGGTTATATTCACACATATGTTCCTTTCCTGGCATGATGCAAAAAATAAACCTTAGTATTTTCAATTAACTCTATTATATCCACTATTTGGACTGGCATTTAATGACCAGGGTTAAGCAGAGTAGGGCCTTGTAATTCAAAACAACAACAATAATATAATACCTTATTTTACTGGAAGTTGCATTTTCTATGTCAAATTTTGCTCCTGGCAGTGGAAAAAATAGAACTATAAAAAGTTTTAAGAAAAGAGAGAGAGAATTCTGAACCATTAAGCCCACTCTGTAACATAAAGCAGAAGGCATGTGCTAAGCTTAAACGATGCAAACCAGTAAAAACACAGGGAGGTATGTAACAAAACTGGAGCAGCAAGAAACAAAATACTGTGTTAACAGTAAGCAGGAAGAAATCCTGAAGATCAAACCCCCAAAGTAAGTACAATAAAGGAAGCACAACAAAATGTCAGCTGCAGTTGGAGCAGACCAAGAAAGAAAGGTGGGTCCCTGCAATCCCATACCAACTTGGACTTGAACAGAAACTATACCAAACTTCAGAGCTTGCAACAGAAGGGACAAGTCACCACTAACACAATATGTGTATTTTGTGCTCACTGTGTTAAATCTACACACACAGTGATGCAGTCTGGCAAGCTTGTGTTTTTCAGATGTGTGGGGTTTTAACTGTCACCCAGCACAGCCAGCGCTGGCCAAAACATCCAGAGTCCACCAGTTTGAGAAGGCTCAAACAGAATGCAGTAACATCACCTGTGATGTTAAACCATTTAGATCAGCGTTTCTCAAACTAGGCTACTTTTAAGATGCTGGACTTCAACTCCCAGAATTCCCCAACCAGTTGAAATCCACATATATTAAAGTTGCCAAGTTTGAGAAACACCAATTTAGACAATCAAGCAGGTATACCTGGAAAGCAAACAATTTAAAGCAATAGTTCATTTCTTACAAAATGTAAAACTTGCATCTGATGAAGTGAGATCAAAGGTCAAAGGTGTTTTGCTTTCACACCTGAACATACACTTTGACCACACTGCGCAAGAGAACATTCTCCAATGTTTCTAAAAGAAGCAGAGATCTTCATTCAATTCTGGGATTGCAAGGACAAACTCTGGTAGATCAGTTATTAAGAAGAACCAACTTTCTCAGCTTTTATTAATAGCATAGCAAAGGGACCTTCAAAGTCATAGCACCTCATGGCTGTATAAGCAGCACTTGCTGAGAAAACTGACACAAGAGATCTGCTAAATTCTTCCTTCAATGTTTTGCTTGTTTTTGCATTTAATCATCCAGTTCTGAACAGAATTGTAGCAATTCTCCCAGTTTAAATAGCAGAAATGTAAGGTAGTAAATCTTTACATATTAATGCCAATCACTCCTAAAACCTATGCATTTTATTTGACCCTATACATTCTATTTGAAAATAATGGCTATTATGTTCAACGATGCAGCTGACATCCAGTAAGTGTGCCCAGAACCAAAGCCTTAATATGTGGGAATTTTGTTACAAATAAGATGACGTTCTACCTTAAAAGCAGAATGAAATCTATCAAGGGATAGGTGCAACTGTCAGTTTTAAGATAACCACACTTCCTATTTCAACACAGAAACTGCAAAAGTATGAGAACAGAAAAACACTTTTCAGATATTGCACATCAGGGTTCCCATTTCTACCATTACACACAAAAATACAATATATTACACTATATACACACTATATTTTGAATGCCCCTCACAACAGTATAATGAACGGTTTCAAATGTTGACCTTTGGCCATTTTCAAATTCCTTTTTGCCCATATTGAATGTATACTTCATCAACCACATTCCAGTAGTTTCCAAATTAAGTCTTAGGAAAAAAAAATATGGAAGACAAAGAAGGGTTGCAGGTTGCAACGAAAGAGGTATTTAAAAATGCTAAGATAAACTGCCTTTGATTTCTACTAAGTTTCAGACAATAACAATAATCTTCTCAGAGCAATTATAATTTATTCAAGATCTGAGATTAATATAAAACCAAAAATGATTCGATTAATCAGGCAAACAGATTCAGTTCTATTACTTCCCTTAAGACTAGTATCTGAATCACTATGGGGAACTATTTCATAAAATGCTTGATTTATAGCATTTAAATCCAAAAGACGTGGTAATAACCAGCAAGTTGTTTTGCTTTAAAAAGATTGAATGCATTCAGAAAGTTTACATCCAGTTATTTATCACAACAGCCAAACTGAGTTTCTAGGTTTAGACACAGAATAACCATTTTTGGAAAAAACTGTTTGGGGGGTTCCTTAAATACCTGGGAACAAATGGAGCCAAGACAAGATAGTGATTTGGACAGTCTTATCCATTGTGGCTCTTTTTACATTGTGCTACTAAATGTTTGTGTAATTTGCCTACACAACAGGCTTGCTCTAGTAAAGGAAAATCTTTATGCATGTGTAAAGAGAGATTCGATGATGATAGTCTACAAGTGCCTATACTTGTATCTCTTGTGTTCACAGAGGCCAAGGGTTTCATGGCATTTTAAAAATTAACCAGTTTAACACAGCTGTTTTCACAAACTAAAGCATACCATCGCTATTGGCATGGAGCATTTTGCTAACTGGGTAATTTTTAGACATCAACATACAAACGCATAAAAGCAGGCCGAAAGACCTGAAATGCAAAAAGAATCTTAAGGCTGTTTCTACCCAAAACTCAGGTTTGCCTAGAAAATATGCAAAGTGTAATTTATAACAGCAGAACTGAACACTCTGTTATCCCCACTTTTTTTCCCCTTCCATCTGTGTAAGGTGAGATCTTTGTTTCTCACATCAACACACACTTCTGCAAATATATAACGTGGGCAAGAGGGAGCGAGTGAGACATCTCACCTACATTCTTCGCCCTAGCCATTTCCACATTACCCTTTTTCGACTGTAAGCTCCTCGCAAGCTGTGAATTTTCCAGTATGTACCCCAATGGCAAGGCACAAAGAATGAACCGTAACCACTGACTGTTGGCAAATGGATATAAATGATGAAAAACTGCCATATAAAAGAAGGGCAGAATGGTTCAGGGAGGGATCATGAAAGCAGGGCAAGCAAAGGGCTTAAAACAGAAGGAAGGGCGCTTTGGCCAAACATCTGGAAGACTTTCCTAACAGTAAGCTATTCCACAATGGAAAAGACTACCGTGGGAGATGCAGATGTTTAAACAGAGACTGGCTAGCCCCTGGTTAAGGAACAAGAATATGATCTCCAGAGTCTCTTCCTTACGTTCTATGATTTTATATCAGGAAAAATTTCCTGATGGAATGAGCTGTTCAACTACGAAGCAGGCTGTCTTGGAGTCTCCTTCACTCCAGGTGTTTAAACACAGGGTGGATGTTGGGGACGCTGCACTACTGGCTTCCCGCTCTGGAAGGGGGGCTAGAGGACCTCCAACTTCTGTTCTAGGGTCCCACCAGTCCCCAACCCAAATTCTCCCACAGCCCAACTCAAGACACAAACCTGCCGGGCGTCTCCAACCCATCCCCGTCGTCAGGCTAACCTACCTCACAGGGCTGTGGTGAGAAGCTAATGGACAGGACGAAGCACTGCAACCCAGGCCAGCTTTTTTGCACTCCAGCCCTCTCCAGAGGGGCTGGCCTACCAGGGCGACCCTTACAGCTGGGGGGAATGGGTGCTGGAGTCCTTGGGGGAAGGAGGATCGTGCAGGGTCCCGAGTCAGCGGAGAAGGAAGAGGGCAACAGGGGAATGGCAACCACAGGAAGGGAAGACGCCCGCTCCCCCCTGAGGAAAAGCGCGCCCAGAGTCACAAGGGTGAGATGGGCGGCTACGTAAATTAATAATATATGAATTAAATAGGTATAAATTTGGAATTAAAGAGGGAAAGGAAAGCTGCTCCCACCGACCGCCTTTCCAGTCCTTGGTTGGCTCCGAACGCCCCCTCCCCTGCAGAGGCTTCAGACCCGCCAGCCCTTGAGGCTCACAACAGCCCGGCCAGGTAGGCCAGGCCGAGCGATTCGATCCGAACCCCG